GAAACTCATTGCAGCATGGCAATGGCTCTGTCTTAAGTTGCCGAGGTTCCACGTGATCCTTACCCATCTCTGGCCACACATCCAGCATAAACAGCCACCATCCGAGGAAGGCAGGGAGGGAGGAGATCGGCTGGGGACCCCATACGGAAGACTTTGCCAGCCCAGGCCATTTGCTTTTAATTGGAAATTGTCTCTTTAAATTTCAAGAAGATCTGTGAACATACATAGTAGAACCCTCCGAGGGTGGTGCTGAGGTGCCCACTAGCTCAGACACCCCTATAGTCACCAGAATGGAGGTGCGCAGATAGCAAGGGACCAATGAACAGATACCAAAAGAAAAGAATGTCCACACCTTTATCTCAGCAGTTCTGCCAGGCATCTGTGGCCACTCCAATCCTTCCCCTGCGTGGTTTCACCCAAGATGGTGGCTCCTGGAGCAGCCGAGCGTCCCAGACTAGAAAACAATAGATTTCCTGCCTCTGCCACAAACTCCCCAGCTGTGAGCCCTCCAATCCTCTAAATATTCCTTTATGTGTGATTCAGAGTTCTGGGACCAGCCCCTGAGCCTGCTTGGTTGGGTATTCTGCATTGTTGTTGTTGGAGCTCCTTTACTGCACTTCTACCTGATCTGCCATCTTGTTTGTTCTCTAAAACCCAGTTTTAAATAGACTCTGTTTCTATCTCTGGAAATTCAGCTGTCAGAGGTGCATCAGGCACTCACGAAAAATTGGTATCTGAACACTTAAAGCTAGGTATAAATTGGAATTAAGTTCTGCTAGGCTGGAGTCATTCACAGGCAAAACACCTCTAGATTACTTGCTCTCCAGTACCATTCTGCAAGAATCCATAACTATCCTAGTAAGATTTACTGTTTTTATCCTTGCCTTTCTCTCTTAGTCTAAAAGCAATTCCACTTGATTCCTGTTTAAAATCTTCAAATGGCTCTCCATCTAAATCTAAGGAGAAACTAAAATCCTTGTAATAATCTACAAGTCCCTTCATTATGTGGCATCTGTTAATTTTGTATCTATTTACTTACTATTCTCCATGACTCACTTCTCTTATTTGTTGTTGTTAAATACCATCGAATCAATTGCGACCCATAGCGACCCTATATAGAGTTTCTGAGGGTCAGCTAGTGAAGTTGAAACAGTGACCTTGCAGTTCAAATGGCTTTGCAGTCCGATGCATTAACCCACAGCACCACACCAGTTAGTCTGTCCTT